CCCATCTACCACTCACTCCACTCCCCTCTCTTTTAATTAACAGAAAATTACACATGGAGGACGGAATATCACGTGCCAAAGTGGGACTTAAAAATAAACCCAGCTGGAATTAGACACACGACTCTCCTCTCCTCTCCAACACGCTTCTCTCCAACACACTGGAATTAACAATTTATGAATTCCCAATTCAATTCAAACCCTTAAATCTGAAATTCCATCCCCGACAATCGAAAATTGGTGGACTCCGCCATCGCCCAGCTACTCTATCTTGATCCGCCATCGCCCAGCTCAAAAATTGGTGAAATCATCCATTGCCCAGCTCAAAAATTGTTGATCCTTCCACCAATTCAATTCAAACCCATCCAATTTAATTCAAACCCCGACGGTCGCATCATCTCCACCACTACGAAGGAATCTGCCATCGCCAGCTCAAATCTCTCAAGGACGACAGTGCCAAGTTTGAAGAGAAAATCGCCCAGCTCAATGGAGTTGGAAGTAGATTTTCTGATTGTAGCTTCGGCGGAGATACTGGTCATCTTCGTCCATTCTCAGGTCAAATGCAAAAGCATTTTGAAGATGCAACATTTGCTTTGCAAATTGGTGGAATTACTGAAGCAAGATCGATTATAGAAGGGAGATTGAAGTCCTGTTTGGGAAGGGAAATTGGTGGAATTACAGAATGTCTTATTGCTGGTGGAATTACATTGAATGTCTTATTGCTGGTGGAATTACAAAATGTCTTATTCCACAGAATGTCTTATTGCTGGTGGGATTACAGAATGTCTTATTGCTGGTGGTTATTGATGGTTTATATTGCTGCTGGTGGGCTGATAATAAGAAGTTGGTTGTTGTAAATTAGCTGTAGTTGGTCTTATTGCTGGTGGTTATTGCTGTTGGTGGGGCTGATAAGTAGTTGGTTGTTGTAACTTGGCTGTATGATCTTTGTACAGTTGAATGAATGAATCATGTTATACCTTGGTTTGTTTCATTTTTGTGCCTGAGTTAGTGTGTTCCCCAGAGTATAAATATAAACAGAAACCAGTAAAACACAAACCAGTTGAATGAATGAATCATGTTATAACTTGGTTTGTTTCATTTTTGTGCCTGAGTTAGTGTGTTCCCCAGAGTATAAATATAAACAGAAACCAGTAAAAAACAGAAACTAGTAAAACAGAAACCAGTAAAAACACAAACTGCTGGATGTTGGCCAAAATACAGTCCATTCATTCATTCATTCTCAAAATCACGAATATAAGCCAGTAAACTGCTGGATGTAACCATTCATTCAAAATACATTGGAATATGATGGTTAAATGACATTTCAAACACATTAGATGACCAACAGCTACAGCTGGAACAATAGCCAAAGATAGTTCACTGTCAAAAACTCTTCATTTCAGACCCTAAACTACATCTATTTGGAAGGACCAGTGTTGTTAGATTGTGCATCACTTGTGACCTGAAGTCCAAGTGTCGGCATGAAAATGTATCCATCTGTTGGAGGATTATGTTGTACTTTATTTGTTGAATTCTCGTTTGCTCTTCGAGTTGCCAGC